ATGGAATCTTCGACACCAAGGAGGAACGCATGCAGTAATATGTGGTGAAAGTTTAAAATCTACTCGCATGAGTCAGAGAATAGTCAATTACTCACATCCCTAGAGAAGAAAACGCTGAAGCAGATGCATTGGCCAATCTGGGCTCGTCCATGGAAAAGAAGGGATCAGATTCTGGCACAATCATACAGCTTATGCACTCGGTACTGGACGTGGATGGTTATTATGAAGTAAATACAACCAACTTGGTCTGGGACTGAAGAAATGAAATCATCGGCTACCATGAGCAAGACAATCTGCCCGAAGACCACAAGGCATCCTGGGCACTACGCAGCAAAGCAGCTCGTTAAAGCTTCTGGGGAGGACAGTTATATAGAAGGTCATTGCCCATTGGCCTGATGCTTAGGCGCCTCCGAAGCTAATTACGTCATGAGAAAGGTTCACGAAGGAATTTGTAGAAATCATTCAGGTGCAAACTCGTTGGTGTTTAAATTAATTAGGGAAGGATACTACTGGACCCGGATGGAACATGAAGCTAAGGCATTCGCTCAGAAATGCGACAAGTGTCAACGTCATTCGCCGTTAGTGCACCAACCGGCAGAGCTAATGCACTCGGTATTATCCCCATGGACATTCATGAAATGGGTGATGGATATAGTCGGGTTGCTGCCACCAGCTCCCAAGAAGGTAAGATTTCTTTTAATTTTAACTTATTATTTCACAAAGTGGGTTGAAGCAGGTCCTTACTAGTAAATCAGCGAGCGTGAAGTGGTCGACTTCTTGTGGGAGAACATAATTTGCCGGTTCATCATACCGAAGGAGATTGTCTGTGATAAAGGGCCATATGTCATAGGCGTAAATGTCAAAAAATAATCACATCTTCGCCATACCATCCGAGCGCAAATGGCCAGGCGGAATCAACAAATAAGGTGATTATTCAAAACCTCAAAAAAAGATTGGAAGTAGGTAAAGGCAAGTGGCCCAAAGAGTTACTAAAGTGTTATGGGCATACCGGATGACGGCCAAGTCAAGCATGGGAGAGACACCTTTCTCTCTCGTATACGGAGCATAAGCTCTGATCCCGGTGGAAGTAGGAGAACCGACCTTGAGGTACTTCTGGGCGGACGAAGAAACAAACAACAAAGCATTGCTAGTCAAACTGGAGCTACTTGACGAATGGAGGAACTTAGCGCAAATAAGGATGGTGGCCCAAAAACAAAGAATGGAAAGGTACTATAATCGAAGGGCCAATCTCCGCTGTTTCAAATTAGGAGACTCGGTTTTAAGAAAGGTGACTCAAAATACCCTGGAGCTCAACGCAGGAAAGCTGGGTCCGACATGGAAAGGCTCCTACCGGATTTCAGTTGTCACCGGGAAAGGATCATACGAACTAGAAAACCAAGATGGAGTCAAATTGACTCACCTCAAAAATTATTATTGCTGATGAGCACCACTTATAATGAAAGTATGTGCTGCACTCTTTTTCCCTTTGTCCAGTTTTTGTCCCAATTAGGTTTTTCTGGCAAGGTTTTTAACGAGGCATCAACGGAAAGCATACTACGAAGGAAATGACATCGGCAGAAATAAGACCATTAAAGGACAAGGCATGAAAGCGACAAGCCACTACGAGATGGTTAGATAGTCTTTGGTTCGATAGTAAAGTTCCTAACGGGAAACGAAGCTTGCTATTGGACAAAAGGCTATTCAACCATTCACGAGTGCTCTTTTCCTAAATGCCACTAGGGGTGGTTAGATAATCTTTGGCTCGGTAGCAAAGTTTCAAATGGGAAACAAAGCTTGCTATCGGACCAAAGATCATCCAACCATTCACTAGTGGAATCCTCAAAGGAGCAAGACTTCCAGTGTTCCAATTCTCATTCCTCGTATTCAAACACTAGGGGGAAATAATATGAGAATACGGCAATCTGATTGCCACAGCAACCAAGACTATGAAATCTGGGAACAAAATGTCTCATTGGAACCGGGGATTGCATAGCCAGCCCCGTAGAAACAAGTTGTACAAATTAGTCACAAGTAATGGCAATTTCTTTTCTTTCGACAAAATGAATGCTTATGTACTTTTGAAGATAGAAGGAATAAAATAAAGTCCTTTTATTTTATTTTATCTTATTTCTTGTCCAAACGATGAATTGATTTTATCATTTGAAAGTTAATCAAGTACTTCAAATGCTAGTGCCGGAATGAATAGGAGACGTCCTCTTCAAGAGCACCGTAAACATAAGAGGGTCTTATATTATGAAACCTTCACAGTAAAGGGTTGGTTCCGGAAGAGTTTATGCCCTGAATCCAAAATGTTATCGGTGAAAAATGCACCCGAAGCTTCGCATAATTCGACGCAAAAAAGTAAACTTTGCGCAATGCTTAAACAAAAAGCACTTTTATTTATCAAATGTGTCAAGCAACACAAGTACAAAAATACAAAAAGAAAACAATAAAGGAAAAGAAACCAAAAAGCTAAACTATATCGCCCCCAAAACTCGGGAGAAGAGAAGCATCAGCACCCCCAGGAGAAGCAGGCGGATCTGCCGTCTACTCGGGATCTTGGCCTTCATTATTATTCTTCTCAAGTTCCTCCTCAGTTCTTGAGAACTCAGAACCAGAACCATAAGAGTCAGTTGCATCAAGCTGAGTCGGGAGGCGTTCTCGAGCAGTTGATTCCAGCTCTCGAACCTTGGCGATTTCTTCATCAATATCACCGACGCCCGCTTTAGCCTCTTCCAAGGTTTTTCTCCCCATGCTATACATAGAATATGTTTTTTAAATAATAAGGGAATCTGCTCAGTGCTGGAGTTCTGTTTTAAGTCGCTCAACCTCGGTCTAAAGGCCATCCTGCTCGGATCTCGCGGCGCTAAGTCTAAGATCAAGATCACGGATAGTGGTGATATGAATCTTATTGTGTTCTATGATCCTTTTATACTTATCCTCCATCTGGGTACGCTTCTCCTTGGCAGCAACAACCTCTTCAGCTTTGGAGTTCAGGGTTTCCTTCAAGTTGTTCACTCTCTTAACGAAGGCAGATTCACGCTCGGCAGAAGCGAGCACATCATTGTGGACCTCATGAGACCATTTAGCCTTGGCTTCTTGAAACTGTACATTTAACTGAGAGGCTTCTTGGCTGAGGGCCATCACTTCCTGCTCACTCTGTTTCAACCGAGCCTCTAACTCACCCGCCTCAGCAGCTTTTGCTTCTAGCACCGGGAGACGAGCAGCAATTTGGTCCCTCTAGGCCAACAACTGATCCCGCTCGGACTGGAGTCATTCTTTATCGAGGATCAGCTTTTGAAGGCCTTCAGAAGCAAGGAGGTTGGCCGATGAAGCAAAAACACTAGTTAGAAACCATGTCATAGCAAGTCAAGAAGAAACAAGTAGTAAAGAGAACAAGTATGTTATCGTTGTTGCATTGTGCATGGCATTGTTTAACAAACACTCTCCCGAGAGAGAGAGTGTATTTTCTTCTTATCTTTTTCTAAAGCCAGCGGCTTCAGATAGTTATTAGGTTCCACCAGCCAGGATAGCAGATGGCACTCAATAGATACCGAGAGGGAGACACTTTTCCTCCTCTAGGGATCTGCAGAAGGGGGCGAGTAGTTATGCCCCAAATTCCCATGGTCTGGGGACTGGGGAGGATTGACATCCTCCTCTTGGGCGTCTGCGGCCAGTGGGGGTGATGTAGCAGTTACTGGTGAGGAAGGTATGGCCGGTATGGAAGGGGATAAAGTTGATGGCATTATGAATTGAGAAGCAGCTGCAGCACAAGCAGTGCTGGTTATTGGTTGCTCACCAACCGAAGACGGAAGAGGCTCGGTACTTGGCCTCGATGTACCAGGAGCAGCAACTGGTACCGAAAAGGGAGAGTTGGCATTCTCCACCAAGTCAAACTCTCCCTTGAGCGCTTGGGCATCGTCCTCGGTTGGGTTTATAAACTCTTCATATTGAGCATTATGTTGAGCCGATGAAGGATGTTGTCTCCTTTATAAGGAATCCCCTTTATCACTGGCTTCCTCATCATCATCAATCACCACAGTGATTGCGGCTGGCTCGGGCGCGGATTTCCTCACCTTTTCATTCTTTCCCTCGGCCGAGGAAGAACGCCGCCTTTTTAGTTGCTTGTTGTTTGACTGGAGACTCCGAGAGGAAGCTCTTACACTGGAAGCAGTTCTGATAGCGCCTGTTCGGGTGAGAGCCTCCTTCAGCAACCTCATAGCCTCCACGGGGTCAACCAAAACATCCTCCTCGGGAATGGTGACAGAGCCCTGCGGGAGACCTGAATTCCACAAAAAGAGAGGTTAACCAATTTTCTTATGCACAAAAATGAAATGTACCATGATTCTTGGCCTTCCATCCGTATTTGGGGGCCAGCTCTTTCCACCGGGGGGTTCAGGCGTGGTGATGTCCAGAATCTTCTGAACCCACCAGTCCAGGCATTCAATCCTTGGTGGTGTCCACCGAGTTGCTGAAATAATAAAAGAAGAAACATTAGCAGCGACATGAAATAACTTTTTTTTAGAAAAAAGACATATTTTGAACTTACGTGTACGAGTCCATGACTCAGGTAAAAATGGAGTCATGTCCGGTATGATATCCCTGGTGGCAACAATGACAAACTGCTCCATCCATCCACGGTCGTTGTCGTCATCCATGCTGGTGAGCAAAGCATGGTGGTCACATTTGCTGAAATTTATTACCTCCCCACGGAATATCTTGGGGGAGAAGAGATTCATCATATGAGCCAAGGTGAACTCCTCCTGCGTTTCTTGGTACAACCGCCGCAGACAGGCCACTATTCGCCATACCGAAGGGCCCACCTATGCCAAACAAACTTGGTATCATTGGCACAACTCCAAAATCACGTGGTCTAGTCCCCCGCTCAAAGAAAATGCACCCAAAGTGAATAGGTACGTATAAATATACATGAAGCCCTTCTTCGTGAAGGTTACTTGATCCACCAGCACAGGAGCAATGATGTTCAGGTCATGGCAATCTCAGTCCTCTTTCACAGTAGGAATTCTGGAAGGACGGATAGAAGAAGGGTATATGCTAACAGCCCAAGTGGTAGAGCTTGAAGAAAGGAACTTTTCTTCAAAGTCCTTAGCTGTGTTGAGACATTTGGGGATGATGGTGCTTACCGTAGGGGGTCAGCATCAACATCAATTTATTTGTCTTTACTCTTCTTCGAACCCCCACCAAAGAGAAGACCGGAGTTCTTGGAAGAGTTATTAAAGAAGGCCATGATGAGGAGAAGTTGGTAAGAGTTCTGTGAAGAAAGATGAAAGCAGCAAAGAGTTGAATGAGAGTTTGTAGAACTACTAAGTGTAAAAGAAGAAGAATGAGGCGTATAAGTAAAGGAATAGGAGGCTAAAATCATGTCCATGATTACCTCGAGAACCGGTGAAAATATGGCTAAATCGTGGAGTAACATGTATTCGGGGTATTAAATACGAAGAGACGTGCGTCTTATCAAGGGCCAGAAACTTTTCAGAAGGGTTGAGAGAATTTCCCGCCAAGAAAGAAATCTTCCCCAACTTCCCAGTGACACAAGGATATGTCACGGGAAAGCAGAGGGACTATCTGTATAGGGTAAAATCGATTTACATTAAATACTCGAATAATAGAGTGACACGTGGAACCAGGAACAGACGGAAGTAGAAGTGAGTAAAAACCAAGACTGAGGACAACAACTTCGGTTGGCATCGGGTAGACCTCGAAGGGAACATTGTCAACGAGGGTAAACGAATATTTGTCACCAGATGTCATTCAATGAAGAATATTTCTTAGTATTAAACACACGTCAGTTACAGAGAACTTTGGCATTCATTACCTGCCGTAACATATTCATCAATGCCCCCATTATTGTCATTTAAGAGGGGCTTGATCATAGGGCATTGTTCTCTTGGTATAGCTATAAATAGTGACATTAACAGCCACTATAAGACAGGAAATTCCGGACAAACTTATGCTACACATTATTCCAAGCTAAATAATACTTTATTTTCTGTCCAACGATTATTGCTGCCTTCGGAAGCCTTGCTCCCGGAGCTAAGCTGCCTGTTATTTTATCTCGATTTCAACGCTAAGTCTTGCATTTTATTTAATTTATTTATCGTTTTGGGATCAAATCGATTTGCTTTTCTATAAACCACAATATAAATTCAACTGTATCGTTTTACGGGTAAAGATAGATACATCCACCCCTCGTTGGCCGTGGATTAATACTAGTATCAGCTGTATAGATAAGCTGAGGGAAAATGACATAAAAGAAAGAACAGGGAGTACTCTCTTAGGCCAACTTATTTTCAGGAACATGTAAATGTCAAATATCTCCATTCACGAAACTGGCAATAGAGGAAAAATACACACTAAATATGTAAAAAAAAATTACTACAACTGCGTCTATCTCTTTCTTCTAGCTAAACTTGTTGATGCATGCTATATGATCTTTTTCGCTCAGGCAATAATTTCATGTTTCATACAAGTCCTAAGTTTGATAGCCATCGAGTCCATTCCAATGGGTTGCACAATGTCACAACATTCTCTTCTATTACCTGCCTGTACAGAAAAGAAACAAAATAAGATTATGGCTAAGAATTCAAAAAACAGCTCAATTTCTTTATCAACGATTCGTAAACTTCGATCCATAATTATGCAAAGATCATAATAATGTCATATAGAATGTAATATACTGGAGTAATAAATAAGCGAAAAGTCAAACTTGAAATGCATAAGTTTGGGGTCCAAAACGATTTGTTATAACCCCCACTTTGTATAATTAAGATTGGATTCGTTCAAATGAATTAAAAGTCAAATGTGTTTTGCACGATAAAGTAGCTAAAATCATCATATAATTAAAAAACACTGAGAAAATGCAGAAGAAACAATTAAAACAAACACTAAGAACAACTCACAAAATGGATTTAAAGCTAAATTTAACCTCCTGCTTTTATTTAGGATTCTATATTTGTATTCTTTCAAATAATTGGCAATACGGGATGAGGACTTACCATGATGTCTTAGGATTTATTTTATCTAAAAGTGTACTGAACATATTCTACGAAAACTCGTAATGTTTTACTTGTATGTTCTTCTTTTTCACTTTACAATGATTATTATTCCTCTTTTTAATTTTATGTAGCACTTTTTCTTTTTCTTTTTTATTCTATTCCAAAACGATGTCATCTTTTTTCATTCGAAAACTTTTTACTTTAGACTTTTTACATGTCACTTTATTCATTTTAAAATAAAATGGGATGAGTATATACTAACCCCTACATGAAGCTTATGCATGGGAGAAAAGACACGAATTTTTGAGACATCATCCGTAGAATGATTGCCGCTCGACCCACATGCCGGCATCGCCCTTGGAGTTCTTTTGATGTATCTCGTAACAATGTGGTTTAATCTTGTTCCCTCGACAGCATCAAAGAAGAGAACATGAGGAATTTCACAAGAATCATTAGTTAATTGTCTAACATTAAACATGTAAGGTGGCCTTGCTCCTTTTCTCCATTCAGAAAATGTCTCAAGGGGTCTTTCAAGAAAACTTGGAGAGTGAATCTTCACATAGATGTTAATGGAATAGCCCCATGACACTGAAAATGTCCAATTGTACTTCTTTAGGTAGCATGTGCTTTGCTGTAATAATCTGGATTGATCTACTCTTGCTGCTGTCATTAGATGGTTTACGGCGTCGTGATGGTTCATTAAAGGGAAGATTGGAGCCACTAAGTCAAGGTGATGGAGAGATAGGAATGGAGACTGAGGATGTGCTGATAAAAAACCAGATATGTCACGGCGCAGGTCAATCTGTGTGAAACAACAAAAGTAAATGTCAGGAATTTCTTTTGAGTTTGAAGATGATGATGTAAAATCTGGTTAACTATGCAAAGTGTGTTTTGATAATAAGTGCTACTATTCAGTACGTGTTATTAGTTAGAGCAAGTGATATAAAATTAAAAGATGCCACCTTATGGCTTAATTTTATTTTTAAAAGGTGATATGAAATTAAAAGTTAAAATAATGAGAAAACCTTCCGTCCACTTTTCTCCCATATGATATCAAACACTAGAAAATAACTTTCTTATTTGAAATATTTTTCTGAAAAGACTTATGTTATATCAAACATACTCTAAGATAATAATATAAAGAGTTTGATTACAAACCTGATGAAACCCATTTTCCAGTGTAATGGTGACGCCTAAATCAGCAATACATGCTTGTAAAATGTGGTCACTGCCATATAAAAATGGATACCTCTTGATACATGTATCCATGTTCTTAGCCACAGCTTGAGCTAAGGGATAACTTAAAGCATAACCAGCTCCACCAAATGCCATTTGAAACGACATACCAAAGTTACTGACAAGACACTCCGAATTCATCCCAACGTAATAGTACTTTCTGTGATCATACTTGGAAAGAACATCGACCAAATTGTCAATCAATAGCACAGTGTCATCGTCCGTCATAACATACCACCTGACCCCTGGACTGTGCTCCACATTGAATGTTTCCTCAATCACTCTCAACATTCTGATTGCAAATGGCATTCCGTGCTTGTGGTAAGGCGCGTATCGCGAATTGTCATCAGATATTTTAAAAGGAGGAGAGGAAGAAGGCCAGGGTAGGTGCTCATTTGGGGTTCTATCTAAGAAAAGAAATCCCCTTGTTATATTTGGTTTCCACCAAGAATGGATATACCATTTTTTGTTNCCATAACATACCACCTCACTCCTGGACTGTGCTCCACATTGAATGTTTCCTCAATCACTCTCAACATTCTAATTGCAAATGGCATTCCGTGCTTGTGATAAGGCGCGTATCGCGAATTGTCATCAGATATTCTAAAAGGAGGAGAGGAATTAGAAGGCCAAGGTAGGTGCTCATTTGGGGTTCTATCTAAGAAAACATATCCCCTTGTTATATTTGGTTTCCACCAAGAATGGATATACAATTTTTTGCTGCCCCATGTATTTGATGAGCCCGCAATTCCAAAAACTAAGTGGCTAATATTTGTAGGTGAAATGTGGGACGTTTTATTGTAGTAATATTGCTTTGACTTGATTCTTCTTTGGAAGAGTAATAGGGATGATTGACAACATGGATGGTTGGACAAGAAAAAGTAAAGTAGATATAGAATTAGGGTTACAAAGACCAGGGATTTGCATAAAATTCCATTCAGGTTGTTGGACAAAGATTTTTGTTTAATTAGGATAAATGCCTTTGCGGAATCAGTTCTAGTACTACTTTTCTCTAATGACATTCTTTCAATGCTAAAGAGCTAGTGAAGGTTTGAGCCAAAGTGGGGAAGAACAGAATTATAGGTTTAGTAACCAAGTGAATTTCACATGTTAGGACCCATAGTGAACGTTTAACTTGTTACAGGCTGGTGCATATATTTCATTCGTTATGCAATTGAATGGTAAACGTGTTCAGTTTCCATTGATTAAGAGTTATTTTAATTGAGGTTTCTTACTTTTTGAGAGCTTGATTTTAACTAAAGCACCAAGAGCATGAACATGCAGCAACTTGTGTGTGGCAAAAAGAGGAATGGTTCTTCTCGTGTGACATAAACCATATTACATAGGGGTCACACCAAAAACTTTTAGCTGATATTCTTAATCACCAATTACATACAACAACTATCCAATCCTTAACGAAGCAGCACTCGAGTGTTTTCATTCATCCCAGTTGCATCAACTAAAGGATCAAATTATAAAAGTTAATTAAATTTAACAAATTTAAATTGAAAATTCTGTGCTAATTCAATGATAAATCTAAAATAACTTAGGTACAAGATCGATTTTTTTAAGATAAATTATACTCATATGGTAGTCTGAGCATCCTGTATTACGGCAAACAGTGTCGCCAAAAAAGAGGGGGTTATACCTGACCTCTTTGATACAATACGGGGAAAGACATGAGCCGTAGTTCCGATAAATTGATAGAAGGTGATGATAGACTCAGAGCCCCCTTTAAATATCAAAATGCACATCACCTCTATCATGTACAATGTACATTAAACTAACATTGAAATTAGCTTTGTCATATCTGATGTAACGACCCGGTCGGTCGTTTGAGTATTATAGCCCTATTCTCTCATTTACTGCTTAATCTGTGCTCATTTGTTGTTATGTGACTTGCCGGGGTAGTTGGTTTGGTTCCGGGGATGTTTCAGAATGAGTTAGGACACTTAGTCCCAAGGTTGGAAGCCTAATTGAAAGAGTTGATCGGATATTGACTTATGTGTAAATGACTCCGGAATGAAATTTTGATGGTTCCAATAGCTCCATATAGTAATTTTGGACTTAGGAGTGCGTCCGGATATTGATTTGGAGGTCCCTAGATGATTTTGGCTTGAATTGACGAAAGTTGGGAAAGTTGAAGTTTGGAGAATTGAGAAGTTTGACTGAGAGTTGACTTTGTGGTTACTGGGCTCAAATTTTTGTTCTGGAAGTTGGAATAGGTCTGTTGTGTCATTTATGACTTGTGAGCAAAATTTGGGGTCAATCGGAGTTGGTTTGGTAGGTTTCGGCATCGATTGTAGAAGTTTGGAAATTCATTAGTTTCAATAGGCTTCAATTGGGGTGATATTCGTATTTTTGATATTGTTGGATGTGATTTGAGGCCTTGACTAAGTTCGTATCGTGTTTTTGACTTGTTGGTATGTTTGGTTGAGGTCCCGGGGGCCTCGGGTGGATTTCGGAAAGTTAACGAATTGGAATTGGGACTTAGAGGATTGCTGAAGAGTTCAGGTCTGGTGCGATCGCACCTGCGAAGGATTTGGTCGCAGGTGCGAGACCGCATAAGCGGATTTTTGTTGGGATGAGCAGGTGCGAGGCCTTGGCCGCACCGACGAGATCGCAAATGCGGGAAGTGGGGCGCAGGTGCGATATGGGCGTGTGGCAGCACTCTCCGCAGAAGCGGAGAGGAGGTCGCTGGTGCAACTTCACAGAAGCGGAGCCTTGTCCGTAGAAGCAAAGGGAGGGGGCCTTCATGGGAACCGCTGAAGCGGAGTTTTGGCTGCACCTGCGGAGCTGTAGAAGCGGTTAAGTGAACCGCAGGTGCGAGATGACTAGCAGATTCATATGGTCGAGGGTTTGAATTATTTTCTCATTTTTGGACTTTGCAAGCTCCGTTGTGTTACATCCCGTACCTTAGCATTAGGATGTGCTGTGGTAAATCCACATGAGTTCGGAGGGATTATGTCTATTAGGAGGTTATAGAGGATTTAAGACATTATTATTATGAGACCCTGTAAGTTTACAACCTTGATATCGTTAGATATTGTGTTAGTGTGGTATTTTCTTTTAAGTGAAGTATTTTAGTAAAAATTTTATAAGTATAATTTTGGATAGTTACCATTATTACTATTTTCGAATATGGTAAATTATACATATAATATGAGAAAGTTTATGAGATTTTCTTTATTGTAAAGATAGAAATTATTTTCTCACAAGAAAAGAAGGTTATCTTTTTACTATTTTAAGAATTAAGCGTACGCAAATTTGTACTCTTTATATGAGATTAGGAAAATTAGAAGTTGAAAAAATATATATATTTTTACATGGATGTTTTAATGAAATAATAGTGTATGTATTGATTTTATATGGTACCACATGACCATAATAGTAAGGGTATACAAAGTGTGTTAAAAGTAAGTAGTATTTTAAGTAATTTGAGACTATTTTTAATTATGCGGGTAATTGGTTAATTATCGGGTAACGGGACATTACCTAATTAACTAATAAGTTGGATAAAGATTAAATTTCCCACCCACCCCACGTGGCAGCAAGCCACTTCTTGGAGAAATGACTCTTAGCCATATTAGATTAGGTGGCAACCAATTCCTAGATAAGCCATGTAATTAGAAAAAGCTACAAATCTTTTAACAATCAAAAGATACTTATCTTCCAACATAAGGAATTATTAAATCCTAGAAGGTTACATATCTTTGAATATGAACAATTCAAATATACACATCTTTGAACGATTAAGAGGATAACAAAGAACTCTAAATATGGGCAATCTAAAGCTGACGGAGAAGACAACCGGCAATTAACGTAGAAGGGTACGGATCTTTAATAAATCAAACAGAGATTTTGCAGTTTTAAGGGAGTACGGTGTAATCCTTCTTAGGAATATCACACGGATTTTTTCCTACTCAGATATGTTAAGGCTAATCCTTCTTTCTTTTGGCATAATTCAAGTAACGATACGTAAACGTAATGCTATTTCATAAGTGTTTCTACTCTTAGCAGTTAAGGATGTTTACGTTATTCATTTATGTAAAGCGATATTCAAGCATGTCTAAAAATGTATCTAGTTCCCTATTGAGATATTTGATAAAGATGTTAATGTTTATAATATAGTGATACACGCATCTTCATGCATATTCATTTACCACCGTGCTACGGTCGGTCGGGCAGTTATCACCGGTTGGGCAGTTATGTATTATTATTTACCGCCAGTTGGGTAGACATGCATATTCATTAATCACCGAGCTACGGTCGATCGGGCAGTCATGCATTTACTACCGAGCTACGGTCGGTTGGGCAGTTACATATTTACCACTGAGATATGGCTGGTCGGGCAGTCATGCATTTACCACCGAGCTACGGCTGGTCGGGCAGCCATGCATTGACCACTGAGCTATGGCCGGTTAGGCAGTTACACATTTACCACCGAACTACGGCCGGTCGGACAGTCATGCATTTACCACCGTGCTACGACCGGTTGGACAATCATACATTTACCACCGTGCGACGGCCGGTCGGGCAGTTACCACTTATCAGTTGGGCAGTCATGTATCATACGATATGGATAATAGTCTCGAAGAGAAGCATTGTATATATGTATGTATAATACATATGCATATACGGTGGCACTTCAGAGATTCAGGGTTATTCTTATATGTCGTTAATTAAGATTGACTTATTGTTATGTTTCAGTTCTGCCTTACATACTCAGTACATTATTCGTACTGACGTCCTTTTATTGGGGACGCTGCATTCATGCCTGCAGGTATAGATAATCAATTTGACGAGCCCTCATAGTAGACGAGTTTGGTATTCAGCAAAGGATCGGTAAGACTCCACCTCATTCGGAGTGCAGCCGAGTTTATGAGTCATCGTGTCAGAGTTTTGCTAAAGACTTATGGGTAGGACGGTACCCTGTCCCATTTGATGTCAAATAATCTTAGAGGCTTTTGTAGACAGAGGTTCATTTTGTACAGTATATCAGAGGCCTTGACGGCCCATATGTATTCATGTTTTAAGAACGATGTTTCATTAATACAGAGTTGTGGCCCACTTATAGTTATACATTACGAGTTGTGGCCATGGTGGCCCATGATAGTTGCAGAGTTGTTCGCTCAGGCCATCACGGCACCGAGTGCCAGCCACGCCTCCCCAGGTTTGGGGCGTAACAGGTTGGAGGCGATATTTGAGAGAGGTTTCACAAGATTTCAAGAGGTAAGCCACTTTTTGTCATTTGTATCCATTAATATTGAATACCCATTGAATTTCCAACCTAGATTATGTGTTTTAAGGTGGAATTTGGGAAAATTTGGACTAGGGATTGGAGAGTAAGATTTGGGAGTTAGAATGAAGATTTGATGTCGGAATTGGGTAATTTTGGTATGGTTGGACTCGTTATTGAGTGAGTGTTCGGATTTTGTTAATTTTATCGGATTCCGAGATGTGAGCCCGGGGTTTACTTTTGAGTTGACTTTTTGACTTTTGTTAAAGAACTTAGCTTTATCATATGGAATTGATTCTTATAGCATTTTTGATTGTATTGAGTTGTTTGTGGCTAGATTCGAGTCGTTCGTAGGCCGATTCGCGAGGCAAGGGCTTGTTGGAGTAAGATTTATACTGTTTGAGGTAAGTAACACTTCTAAACCTAGTTTTGAGGGTATGAATCCCCAAAATATATGTTATGTGGTTGGTGTAGAGGTGACGCATATGTTAGGTGCCGGGCGTGTGGGCGTGCACCGTGGTAAATATGACCCGGTCGATTTCGTGGTACTGTGTAGTCATCAAACCTTGTTGCTATTCATGTGATCCCTATGTGTTAGAGTAATTGAGCTGCAATTCATGTTAGAAATCATGTTTAGGCTATATGTTTATCCGGTTGAGACCCACTGGGGGTCATTTCTGCTGTTGAATTATTTGCTTATATGAAATTTTTGTACTCAGTCACATCCATCATTTGCATATCATATCCCAGTCTCTATTACAATTTATTGTTGTATCATATATC